CTTTTTTTTTTTTTTTTTCTTGTTATCAATCAATCAAACAGTCAAAGGATCAAATAGAAGAAGAAGAAAAAAAAAAAAAAGCAATTACCTTGGAAAACTTTTCGATGGACAGGGCTGTGGTCAACGGTTAGCGGCATTGAATTTTTGATTGGTTGTTTCGTTTTTGCCTCGTTGGATTAGTATAGCTTTTCTTCATGTTATGTACCCTGGGATTTGAACTTGCGTCGTTGGTTTTGAGCACCGTAACCTCTCGAACATTGACCCAGTCAGTTGGGCCCGTTCTTATGGGTATTTTTTTGTTGTTGTTATCGGGTTAGCAGTTTAGTGTTTTTTGGGGTGGACCCGGACCCAGTTGTCCTGTTGCGATAGTCTACCCACCGGGTCCCGGACTTCCTGGGCCTGGTATTGGGTACCGTTTTTGGAAGTGTCCCTGATAGTACTATACGTGTTTCCCTACAAATAGACTAGGTGCAAATTTGTTAGGCCTCTTACGGGACGTTAGCTCTCGCAAGCGCTTTCGCGCTGGCGTATAGCTGACGATAGGTCAGCGGAACGAACGGTGGTTCCTGGGTGTGTGGACTGTTCTTTGTTGCCGTAATTTTCTACCATTTGTGCTTTGCCAATTCTTTGTCCTACTTTGTCCTTTGACTGAGTTCGCAATAGGATTTGACATGGTTTACTTGTATAGGGTGATTTCCTGTTTACACTGTCTATGGCGCGTGTGAACTGTCCTGGAGTGCCGTTGTTGGGATAAGTGAGCATGTATATGTCCCGATCGTGAACTTGTTGTTAACCTTAACCTGGTTACTTGACTGAAGAGGTGACAGTACCCACATCAGCTCTTTGAGTGTTATCAGACGATCATGTCCGGATACGGAGACCAGCGGGAGAGTGTGGTGATCATTGCGATCATCGTGACTATCGAGAGTCGAGACTATCGAGATGTTGGCAGCGGTGGGAGTTATGACCGTGGACCGCGTCGAGGACCTCCTACTTGTTTTAACTGCCAGGAACACGGGCACTACGCTAATCAGTGCCCTCATCCGAGACGACATCCTTCAGCACGACCGTCGTCTTCTTCGGATTCCAGGCGAGGACGATCAGCATTGCCAACTCCTTACTCGCAGAGATCCTCCTCAAGTGATCCCACACATACAAAAGTTGCAGAGATCGACAAAAGCGTGGCTGCTGTGTGCCAATATGTGGAGATGGAGCAGCGGAAGAAAGCGGCTAAGGAGCGCAAGAAAGCCGAGAAGAAGGAACCTGAAGAAAGTGCTGCGGCTAAGGAGTTGGCTATGTAACCGTTTGAACGCATTTGACGCACATTCGCGTTCAAACGCGCGCGTTCCTAGCATGCATGCGCGCGTTCAAACGCGCCACGTGTCATACAGTGGGAGAAAACTGAACGCGCGCCCCTCACCTGGGTGCGCGTGTCAGAATCCACTATGGGCCACGCACAGTTTTGGAAAAAAAAAAACCGTGTGTGTGTGTGTGTGGATTGATTGATTGATTGATTGATTGTCAATGATTGATTGGTTGATTGATTGATTGATTGATTGATTGGATGGATTGTTTGATTGATTGATTGATTCATTGATTGATTGATTCATTGATTGATTGATTGGCTGGTTGGAAAAAAAAATACAAAGAAAAGAAAAGAAAAAAAAAACACAGCAGTGTTGGCAAAGGGGGGAGCAGCATTGGTCATGGCGTCGAGGGCAGCGGTGGCGGCGTTGGGGCCAGCGCTAAAGACGTCATAGGCAGTGGTGGTGGCGTTGGGGCCAGCAACGGCAATGGGGGAAGCAGCGGCGATCGGAGAAGGAGAAAGATGTGGTGGAAGAGGAAGAAGAAGAGGAGGAAGAAGAAGAAGGGGAGGACAAGAAAGAAGAAGATGAGGAGGAGAATCGGGAAGTTATGGCGGGTCCAAAAAAAAAAAAAAAAACAGCAAGTGCCACGTGGCTATGTGACACCCGTGGCCTAGGCCGCGAGAATTTCGGCCCCTGTGGCCAAAAAAGTTGGTCGCGGCCGCGGCCTATTTTTTAATATTTTTTTTTCACCCCTAAAAATACGTCAAAAACAATAGACAAATACAGGGGTGTAGGGTTTGTAAGACCCTACAATCCTATGTTTTTTATTTCGGAATCCAACTTCGTTTAAGATTTAAAAAAAAAATGACAAACGAAATTAGATTTTAATTTTAAACAAAATATAAAAACAAAAATAAAAAGAAAAGCAGGATTTTTTTTTTTTGCATTTTTTATCATGAGGGATATGGTCCCTGAGTTGTGCTGTATTTTTTTTTCAAATGATTTTCGGTTTTTTGTTGGCAAATTAGGTGTTTAAAAAAAATGAAGATGCAAAAATTTAAAACAAATCAACAAAAAAAAACGGGTCAGGCTTGGGTTGGTGTGTGTCTGTGTCCTCTTCTGTGTGTGTGTGTGTCTGTGTGTGTGTGAGTGTGTGTGTGTGTGTGTGTGTGTGTGTATCTGAGTGTGTGTGTGT